TCTTGGCAACCAAAAAGGATAGCAGGGGTCAAAGGAGGCACGGGCCTTCGTGAGGAGATGTAAGGTGGCCACGTTGGTCCTGAGCCTGGGAACGCTACTGCTGATGCTTGTGTGTGTGGGAGCCTCGGAACAGACTCTGGGTTATTTCATTCTTTCCCTCATTCATTTGTTCATGCACCCATCCACTCATCCACCATCAGCACACTCACAGAGCTTCCACTCTGGGTCAGGCGCTGGGCACTCAGATGAATCCCCATTCGGCCTCTGCCTGTTGAGAGCTCAGGGTATGGAATGGGAGGCTGACACCTGGGCAGATAGGTGAAAAGCAGTATTAGGGAGCTAGGGCAGATGTCTGGAGGGTGAGGTGGGGGAAGGAAGAGTTGGCATATGTATGAGTGAGGGGTCAGCTCTGCCTAGAATTCAGGAAGAACTTCCCAGTGGAGGCGTGGCTTGAGCTCCTCCTAAGATAGGTAAGTTTTTGGAAGGTGGACCAGGTAGGGGAAGGGCAGCTCGGGCAGAGGGAACAACTAGAGCAAAGGCATGGAACTATGAGGCAATCTGGCGGTTAGAACTGCAGTCAGGTTGGTGTGAGGAGGAAGACTGGGGAGGCCAGGGGCTGGGCCAGAGCCAGGGTGTGTGGGTGGGCTGCCCTCACAGAGGAGGCAGCCCCTTGCCCCACTGGCTGGGGACTCATCTCTGGGCCTCACTCGGTGCCCAAAAGCAGCAGTAGTGGCTTGGGGACTGACAGATTGCTGGCATTAGGCACCATGCCCACGGACAGGGAACCCTTGGACCTCATCAAGACCCTGCACCTGGTCTTCCTCGCTACCTTCTGGGGCATGCAGATCTAGGTGACATTTATTTCAGGTGCATCTCAGGGAAAGGACTTGTCAAGCCCATGACTTTTGCTGGGCTCCTGCCAGGCACAGGGCTGACACCACATCCCACTGAGGCATCATAGCACCACCCCACACATACATATTAGGCAGCATTTTTGCCCCAATTTATAGATGAGGAAATTGAGGTTTAGTGTGGTTAAATGACTTGCATACAGCCTTTATGTAGCAGAGCCAGAAGCCAAACTAATGTCTGTTGGATATCAAGAACCATGTTGTCTGCAAGCTAGAGCGCTATCACTCAGGTGAGGATTTATGCTGCATATTTAAAAAAATACGCCTTAACAGGGATACAATGCCTTCCAGTATACAGCTCTTTAACAGTTGTGTGAGGCAGGCTAGTATTTCCACACTTTACAGATGGAAAGACTGAGGCCCAGAAAAGGGCAGGGACTCATCAAGATCAGGCAGCCCCTGGGCACTGGCCCTAACAGCAGGTCCTAGGCCTGCTTCCCATCTTGCGCTCCATCCATATTACCAAGGGCTCGCTCTAAAATGGACATGACCCTTCTCAGGCTTGCTAGGCCTCTGGGACCCAGGGTTTCCAGGTGTCCAGGGAGGTGACTCCTGAGGGCTGTGCCCACCCATGGCAGGGCCTTCTCTCTTCCAGCCGGCGTGGGACTATAGTGCCATGGGAGTCCCTCATCTGGGGTTTGAGAAGTCAGGGTTAAGTCAAGGAGAGTCATCCTAGGGAGAAGTTTGCCCCAGAGCGCCTGGTACCCATAATAGCAACAGTGGCTTACTGAGCACACTATTCTGTGTGCTTTATATGGTTTATGCCATTCAATCCACATAACAACCCTTTCGATAGATGCTGTTATTAAACCTCCTTTTGCAGATGAGGAAATCGAGGCACCAGGTTAAGAAACTGCCCAGAGCAGCACAGCTATTAAGTGCGGCTTTGAACCCTGGCTCTGGCCTGAGACTGCCTCGACTGTGCCGCCTTCCCAGAGTTTGGATGTAGATGGGCCTGGAGGGGTGGGAAGGGAGGAGCTCCAGGGCCCACAGTCACTGCTGGCCACTGATGCCCCACCCCTGTCCACAGGCTTCGTGATGGGCAGCAGCTTGCCGCAGCACACACTAGGCTTCATCTAGAGCCGCCTCTTCCCCGTCTACTTCCACATGGGCTCTGCCTGCACCTTCTGCAACCTGATACTTTTTGCCATGTACCACCCAAGGGAGCTCCTCAATGAGGAGGAGGCCACCCAGGTATGCAAGCCCCTCGCCTTGCAGCCCAGCCCCCACTCTGGCTGCTAGAGCTTAGGGAAACCCCTCTGGGCGCACCACTCTGCTCAGACTGCATCCAGGGCTCCCCAGGTTGCACAGAATCAAGTGCAAATGCCCGGGCCCACGATCAGGGCCAACCACCTCCTGGTCATAGCTCTGCTCACTTCCTGCCACTCTGGCCATTCATCTCTCCTTGGTTCCAGTGTTACCACACGGCTCACTGTTCCTCTAACAAGGAAGGCGGGTACCACTGTGCACTCCAAGCACATCCTCTGTGCTAGGCTGAGCTTGGCATCAGGCACACAGCCATTGAACACGGGCCTGGCTCTCGGGGAGCTCAGTCTGGTGGGGTAAAGGGATGATTGTGGGAGATACGTGGGGCAGACAAGGACACAGGGAAACATACCTGGGGAGGGCAAAAGCTCAGAAAAGGCTTACACAGCTTTGCATATGCTGAGCCCTCTGCCAGGAATACTCTTCCTTGTTTCTCACCTTGGGACTCTTCATCTTCTAAGACCTAGTTCGTGTGTCACCACCTCCGAGAAGCCTTTCCTAAGCTCTCCCCCCACCTCTCCATCAGGATCAGTTACTCCTACCTCTGCTCAGCCAAATCGTGCCGCTGGGGCCTCCTTTGCATCATTTCATCCTAGTTGCTTTCCACATCTCTCTTCCAGGTGGCTTGGGCGCTCCTCAAGGGCAGGGCCCAGTGCCAACAGCAGGACCTGGCCCAGAGCCAGCCCCAGTGAAGGTTTCAGCAGAATGACAGAAGCAAATGGTTCTTTCCAGCCCTCGTGTGGCTGCAAATGTCCAAACCGCCTCTAAAACAGTGAAGTGGGGAGGCACTTCTAGCTCAAGAATTATAGTGCTCCCAGCACCTGCTGTGCTGGAGAGAGGCATCTGGTTCCAGGTGTCAGGATGAGGACTAGGAAACCATCTTAAGGGATTGTGCCCTGCAGACATCGCTGCTTGCACTTTGGCACAGCCTTTTCACGTGTAGTATCTGAGTTGATGGAGGAAGGGAAGCAGGAGGCCCATATCCTGACCTTTTCTCTCCCACCCTGCTACAGCTGTCATCTTGTGCGTGTGGCCATGGCCATGTTGAACTCCCAGTGGTTCTGGCAGGTAACGTCAGACATCATGTCTGACATGCACCTCACCAAACAGAGCTACAGCCTGGGCCATGACATCGGCCTCTTCTCCAGGAAGTCCTACACCCACCTGCAGGCTACCAACCCCCATTACCAGGCCCTCTGCCTCCAGCTCACCTGCTACCATTGCCTCTCATTCCTCTGCAACCTGGCCTGCATGGCCTGTAACGGCCTGAGCCTGTACTACCTGGCCACACACCTCTCCACACTCCAGTTCCTACTGATAGGGGAGGGGCCCCATGGCTTTCTGCCAAGTGAGCCTCTAGCCCTGTCAGGGGGCTCACCCAACAAGCCTGCTGTGCGGAGGGCCCTCAAACCCCATTCTTCCCAAACCTGGTGAGATCTGCAAGGCGTCCCAGGGATCTTCTTTCCACCCTTCTCATAAAAGAAAAAGAGACTACAGGCCCATAGCACACACAGGACTTGCCCAAGGCCACACAGCCAGGCAATATAAGCTGCTTCTGAGCTCTGTCCCATTTGAGGCCAGTGAGAAGGCTGGCAGCCACTTTCTCAACTGTCTTCAGAGTTCATGGTGGGTCCATTTCTAGCCACAGTGGCTTCTCCCCAGCTGCAGATCCACCATGGGCCCTGCACATCCACAACACTGGTGTTCCAGGCCCACTTCCTCTGGCCTTTCAGCAAGCACTGCCCACTGAATCTTGGCCAGAAGGGGCCAGGCTCTGCTTCCCATGTCAGAGTGGGGATGAAAGTGCTGCACAACCAGAGAACATGGCAGAGGATCCTCCGGATGTTCAGGGCAGGAATGTCTGGTGATGATGCAGTCACACTGGGTCAGGGCAGGACCAGGACTCCAGCTTCCCGTGTGGTTGTCGGTAGTAGCTGAATATGCGACCACACCTCAGCAATGCTGGGAGCCCTTCTTTTCCCATCTTTGTAGTGGTGACGTAGGGCATAATGCCCAGGCCAACGGCATGGGCTCCTCTCTGCACCCCCTACCTTCAGGCTTGGGAAAGGCTGAGCAACTACTCTTAGGGACTGCTACTACTATAAATGCTTCAACTTACACACACTGGTGACTACTGTGAACCTGTTAGACTGAATGAATGTTTCATTTTGTTTTTGGTTTGGTCCAAGGTTTCTTAATCTCAGCACTATCGACATTTGGGGTGGATAATTCTTTGCTGGGGTGGGGGGCTGTCCTGTGCATTGCAGGATGTTTAGCAGCATCCCTGACCCACTAGATGCCAGTAGCACTCCACTGACTTGTGACAACCAAGAATGTCTCCAGACACTGCCCAGTGTCTGCTGGGAGGCACAATCACCCCTGGTTGCGGACCACCGGTCTAGTGCTATCAGTCAGCATCAATGTGCCCTGGAGACAGTTCACTTAAGATCAATTATTGAATAACCGTGCTCCAGGCACTGTGCTAGGTGCTTGGCATACGTCTCCGCAGAGAAGTTCCACGGACTTAAGTGGCAGTGCCTTACCGATGGCCGCAGCAAGTCAGTAGTCACCAGGATTCAACCCTGGTCTAACAGTCTGCTATTCAAAGTCCCTTTTCTCTGCTGTCCCGAGCTAAAGAAAGAGCCCCTATCTGGGACACGTGTTCTCATGGCATAAGGAAAAGCGCACAAGCATCCCATGCAATGGCGCTTCATACTTGCTGAAACACGGCACCATTCACGTCGCTCACATCCCTTTGGAGTCAAGTTGCACAGCTAAGCCCAATGCTAGAGAAGCAGAGGCATGGGGGTGGGGGGTGGGGGTGCTGCAAGAAGGCGGTGACTACAGGCAAGGACATACAAAATCCTCTAACACAGAGGGAGCAAAGATAGCTGTAGACAAAACTATATGACAATCACCCAACATGCAAAAAGACTTTTCAGTTTAAAAGGCCCAAAATCCTAAGATGTGGAAACTGGAGAGGAATTCAGAGGCTACTGCTCAAGTCTGTGACAGACCGCTATCCTGCAAAGATCAGGAGCATTGGCAGTATCTTTAGGGTTACCAAGGACCTATCTGCATGGTGTTTATAAATGTGTACTCACCCCAAGGCATCTATAGCATCCCATGCAACTCCCCTCTGTGCTAACCAAATAGCTGGAGGCCAGCATCTCTTAGCTGGGCCTTCAGCAGTTCTGTAAATGCCTTAAAATTATATGCACAATTTGCTTATGTAAATAAGTGCAATTTGAAGGGTTGCTTCTCTTAAGTCATCTTAACTCCGCAGAGGTCCAGAATCATGTCACTGGATCCTGAGCCAATTTCCGCAGTCCAACTAGTCACCAGGGTCAGCTGCTATGGTAACTGCAATAGCTGGTCTCTTCTGAGATGGAGGCTGGTGGTAATATAGCTTGCTCATAGTGAGTCCAAGGATGACAGGACCAAGGCACAGAGTTTTGTGTCAACAGAGGACAGTGCAGACCAGCTGGAGCTCAGCACTGTGGCCAGAGAGGCTGTAGTCCAGGGAAGTCAGCAGCAACTCCCCTGGTTGGATGCTAGAAGCACTGTACCAAGGAGAAATAGCATCTCAGAGCTGAATCAAGTGTGCTGGACTCTGGCCACAGGACGGTGAGGGAGGAGGTCCAGGGGTCTGGCCCCCACAGCCTGGCTTGGTCACTTTATCTGATGCACCCTTCTCCCCCGGAGATAATTCTTGCAAAAAGGAGAGGATCCTACACAGACCAAAAATGCTGGTGTCAGGGCTTTTACAGAGTACCTGCAGAGAACACAACAAAGAGAGGGGGTTAACAGAATTACAACGTTAATCATGCATGGACCTTCCCAACAACCTTCAAGGTGAACCTCTGGAAGTGAGTCAATATTAAAACCCAAGTGTAGCACATTTATTTGGTTGGCTGTTTATAGCACTGGCAAACTAGCACAACCCTCTCTCCGTTACCTAGCCAGAACTTTTAGGCCAGTCCTCCAGCATCATGCACGTCTATGGCTAAACCTGAAATAAAGCTACAAAACAAGCTTTCATTCTTTCAACAGACATTCAGTGAGTGCTAGGTAAGCCAAGTCTCCTGTGCTGAAAACAGAGGTAAAAAAAAACAAAAAACCATCATCCTTGCTCCCAAGTTCAGTCCTGGGGGGAGGGAGATAAGGAACCAATTAATGACAGCAAGGCACAACCGTAGAAGCATTTGTGAGGCACAGTGTTAGCCAAGGAGGCGTGACTCCCTCTCTGGGGAAAAGGACTCGGGAAAGGCTTCCTGATAGGTCCGAGATTGGCTTTAATTTGGAAAAGGGGTGGTGACTGG